AAGATTCCGAAGAGATCAAACCGACAAATTCATAAAAAAATCAAAAAAATTATCTCCATTACTCGATCAACCCACAACCACCCACCAACCTATATATTTTAATATTAACCTAACTTGCTCTCATAAAGAATTTGAGAAAATATATTATTCGGTTAGGAAAGAAGATTATATATTGTACTATTATAAATATTATTGAAACTCTAATATACTAACTTGCATATTGGGATTTATTGTTCGATCTAAATAGACACATATAATTCCTATCAAATATAATACAAACGTTAAATATATTGTAACATACCATTTAAGAAATATTGAATACTATTTAGAAAATGCTTCGTTTTGCAAATCCAATAATAACAATTTCAACTCCTTCGAATTCGCGAACGAATCCAGTCATTCAGTTAGCTCCTGGATCGACTCTTTCGAATAATCAGCCACAAATTTCTAATGAACAAATTGCCATGATCAATGCATTGGGTAATTATACAGGTGAATCTGAGGAGAAATGTCTTCGTTATTTGATCTTTTTTGGTTGGAACTTTGAGTTGGCATATAAGGCAACCGTTTTATTGAGCCAAGAGCTGTGTGAAAGAACCAAATTGTCTAATTTGTTTCTTGCGAGAAGAATTTTAGAAGAAGCACAATTTGATGTGACGTTGTGTCACCAACGAATGGAATTAGTCCTGTATTTGATGAATAGAACTAATTTGGTTCATGTATTTGCCTATGATTGCTTGCAACAATATCAATGGAATATCAACAGTGCTTTACAACGAGTTTTTGAGTTGGCTTCCATGAATAGATTACCTTCTCATGCATTTTCAACAATTCCTAATTTGCAAGTGCAACAACAATCGAATAATAATCAACCAGATTCTGCCAGATCACTGCTTGCTCTTCAAACTGCTTACCATAACCAATCGAGACACAATTTATTTAAATTGTAATTGTAAATTATCAATCAATTGTAAATTATCAAAATATAAAAATGTAAATTACCAAATAAAAAATAATTAACCGTGCAGGAAAGGTTGTAATCAAGAATAGGTTGGTTTCGTTTTGTTTAGGCAATCGAATCTGAATGATGGACCAATAATACATGTTTCCTTCCAACAACTCTCCATTATGGAGTCTACTCTGAATCAAATTGGAAGATATATTCGCCTTAATTCAAAAATTAGGAAAAAAAAAACACAATCACCATGGCTGAATGCTTGGAATCCTTGTTATTAGCAGTGCAATGCTGTGCTGAAGTGGCAACTATTGTGCGGGAAATTGATGAAACAGATGGAGAAAATAGAAAGGAAATTGTTAAACTAAAGGCAAAGAAAATTGGCATACTGTTGGTGGTAATTAGTTCGTGTTTAGTTTGCTTTCTGTTAGGTGTTGGATCGTTGTATTTGGTAGCGACGAGGTTGAGTGAGCAAATAGATGTGCAATATGTTCATAATTGTTGTTTTGCTGTTGGCACGAGTTATTGTTATATGAATTCACATGATTCCAATTATGAATATTGTGAATATAAAGTTTCGTATGCAAAATTGAGTCCAACAATTGTTTCAAATCCAAACCAGTTCAATTCATCATTCATTTCTGAGCAATGTCAGCAAATCATGCCCAGTAACACTCATGCCATCACCACTTTCAATTATTTAAAGAAATTCACACCAAACAATTCAACCATTTGCTATTCGAATGCTGAAGAAACAATATTTACCTTCAATGAGCCAATCCACACTACCACAATCAGCACTACTCAACAAGTGCTATTTTACTTCATCGTGATTTCAGTGTTAGCATTCTGTTTCTTTATGGTAATGGTATTAGTGTTGGGATTTTATTTCGTAGAAAGAAAGAGCGAAAAGAAAGATAAATCTCAATACGAAGAAATAAAGGAGGGAGAAGATAATCTGTAATTGAGGCCTCGAAAACAGTTTTCCACACGAATGATAGTTGAACGATTTCAAAATTGGTGGATGCCAATGATCACTCAATAAACAAATGTACATAGAAATTTTCAATTCCATCCAACTAATATTAAATATCTAGTTATCATATTATTTAATAACTAGATTGCATTTACAAGAACATTGGGTTATAGGCATCTTTGGTTTCTTTTTGCTTTTCTAAAACCTCATTAAGCTTAATTCTGATAGCTTCTCCGGTCTTTTCAAGTTTATCAGTCTTGATAAATAATTCCTCTCCCAACAATTTATCGATTGCATGAACAATAGAAATGATTGGTTTGGTTGACAAAATTTCTTGAGTTAATGAAATTGGTGCAAATAATCCAACAACCACCAAATCAGTGAATGGAGCCTTTCCTAAAACAACAGAACTAATTCCACTTAGCACCATATTATCCTTAATTGGGAAATGGCCATATTTCACCAAAGTATCAGCCATTTCTTGATCATTTGTAATAAAGTAAATGCTATCACTTTGGTCACTAGTATCTTCATTACTAGCAGCTGTTAACAATTTCAATAATTCCTCACGAGAAGGTGGATGAATTGGAGTTTGAATATCTTCATGTGTGTTAATAATAATTGGTGTGAAATTAAATTGCCATACCTTCAACATCTTCTCCTGCAATTAATCTCTTCTTCTTTTCATCCATTGGAATAGCTTCCAAACTAACAATACATTTACATCCATGTCTCTTTCCAAATTCAAACAAAGCATTCACCATTTGATGAGAAACGAATGGATCCTTTCTAATAATAATTTACAAAAATTATTCTCCACATTACAAGAAATACTTACAATTCATATTCACTTGTGAATACAACAATCTTGTTATTACCATATATTCTGACTCCACTTTGTGGTGTGTAATCTATTCATTGTCAAATAATTAATGATGATATTAAACAATTCAATTTGTCATTAATCCAAATTGTAAACTACATACTATTAATCAAACAAACAGGTGGAAATACCTCACTGATCACATCTCCAATCAATCTATCATTCCATAAAATCATCAAATCATCATCCATATATTAATCATCATCAATTAAAAACCTACGGAAGATCCAATTGTTCAACCACATATCCAGCAGCAGTCGAAATTGTAGTTGCCCCACTCGGAAAGCCTTCAATTAATACAGCACCCTATTTACAAGATTCTCAATCGTCATCATCATCATCAATTCATCAATTCGATCAAAAAATTACAAACCTTGAGATCAAACTCTCCAAATTCTCTCACGATCAAATTCTTCTCCGCACTCCCATAGGTAAAAGTACGAGAGATTTGATAGCGTTGGGAGGAAATCTTCTTTCCGAGGCCAGCCTTTTGATTTTCTGCCATTTTTTTTGGTTAGTATTTTAGCGAGAAATCCTTTTTTGGTCCTGATTTCAGTTTGGAAAATTCAAAACGTACGAGAATGGAAAATTAGGTTTTTTGTAAACAAATATTTTATTTATTTAGACATTACTTGAATAAAAATTAAAAGATGATTTGAAAAACTATATTTTATGGATATATGAGTTTCGAATATTTTACAAATTGAAAGATAATCTTTCCCATTCACCAACAGCACTTCTATTGACAACAATATCTCCACTTGGTTCCACACAAACATAGGTATTATGTTCAGATTTCAATGCAATAGCTCCATTTCCATGCAATTCAACACTAAATTGTTCCCAAGGTCCAACAGCATCACGATTAGCAACCAACAAACCACTTGGTTCAGCACACATCAATTTACCATGAGCAGATCTGAATGCATTCTTTCCAGCTCCATGATGTTCAACAGTGAATTGTTCCCAAGGACCAACTGCATCACGATTGGCAACCATTGAATGATTTGATTCAGCACACAACAATTTACCATGATGATGTCTCAATGAAATGCTCTGATTTGGAGCCAATGAAAATTGGAACTGTTCCCAAGGTCCCAAAGCATCTCTATTAGCAATAACTAATCCAGATGGTTCAGCACACAAGAATTTACCATGAGCTGATTTGAATGCCACTTGATTTCCAGATTGAACCAATGAGAAAGTTTCCCACGGACCCAAAGCATCTCTATTGGCAATAATTTCACCACTTGGTTCAGCACACATGAATTTTCCATGAGCTGATTTGAATGCATAATCATTTCCAGATATATGAATCAAAGTCATTGCTTCCCAAGCTCCACTGGCATCACGATTGGCAACAACTTGACCACTTGGTTCAATACAGAAATATTTGGAATGGCAAGATCTGAGATTGGCCAATAGGGAACGATGTTTGGCTGAGTGGACAGTGTAGGATCCATGTGGACCAGAATAATTGGTTCCTGGATAGGACATGCCACCTCCAGTGACGAAAAGATAGACATTGATAAAGTCGGAGAGGGAAATGGACTTGCTCTTGGCATGATCAACGAGTTTAAATAAGAATCTAATGAAATTTTGATTATTCGAAAGTAAACTATTTCTGTACTTACTTGATTTCTTCCTTGGCGAGACCAATATCTTGAGCAGCTTTCTTCCATTCCTTCTTATTCAGGGAATTGGAGTGATCCTTGTCGTATTGTTGGAAAGTAGATTGTGCTTGAGAGATGAGTTGTTGATCTTGACCATGTTGAGGCTAAAGTAGAGTAAACTAGACGAAACTATGAGAATGCGTTACTTACAATTTGGAAACCAGAAGGTGCCCATGATGGTTGTGTCCTTGA